GAGCAAGGGCCTCGCTGCCGCGGCGCAGTCCTTGCGGCAGCACTGCCTGCTCTGGAGCCCCCCTCAGGCCTGTGGCTGCTCACACTGCCAGGAGCTGCCCTTGGGCTGCCAACACCTTATTCTGTAATACAGTTAGTATTGAATTCTTATTTTAGGCTGGTTTTGAAATGAGAGATAGTAGGGTGGGAGTCAGGTTGGACTTAATTTTGTTGCTTAAAAGACAACTAAAAAGCAGAAAACCAAAGGAAGAAAACACTTTAAAGCTGTATCACCCATGGTACGTGTTGCATGCACCAAGATAAATTTGGAAAAACTTAATTTGTATCTAAACTGTATATAATTACCTTTGAGGTAGGAGGGGTGATTTGAGATTGTTTCCAACTGAGTACAAAAATGTAGAAGCTGTTTAATTTTCCTTTTTAATTATGCTTGTGCAGACTAAAAATGAAGGAATATGGAGTGTAAGTGAAGAGAATGTGTTTGTACTTTGCTATTATTACTGCTAATGTATTTCAAAAATGAAAAGAAAGTGTCTTTGTTAACTATTTGCATTTGTTAAAGGTAATAGTCTATTAGAAGCACTTAACTGTTCTGCAAGATTGGTTTAGTGAGGGTCTAAGCGAGCAGGGCTCTCCCACGTGACCGCAGGTGCGAGGCGCTGTGGGGCTCCGTCACCAGTGTGAGGTGGATGTCTGGGGGCACCGYGTGCTGGGCCGGTCACAGTGGAGAGCGCAGTTTTGGCAAGGGATGCCCAAGCTGCTCTCCTCACAGATGCCTTGTGAGGGCGACAGCGATAGCAGCTGGGGCTGCTGCTGCTGCCTGCTGTGGCTGGGATGCCTGGCAGGAGCGCGGCCGGCAGCTCCTCTGTGAGCGTCTTTCCCAGGGAGGGCAGCCAGGAACTGGGCATTGTGGGTGGGGGTTAGGCTGAGCGCTGCTCACCAGTGCTGAAGKGGGTGCTTTGAGCTCTGCAGGAGGTTTCCTTGTGTGAGATGGGTGCTGGTTGTGGTGGAATGAGAGTGGCAAGTTTTGTTCTTGAGTAATGGGCAGAAATGAGGTTGTACCTGAGCTGCCTTAAGATTTGCTCTTAAAAGTCTTTCTCCTTGTGAATGGGAATACCCCAATAAATCTCGCTGCCTGTTGAATTCCTGTGCCCGTTTGAACCACAGGGTGATTAAGCTTATCTGCACTGACACTGAAATAGCAAGCGGGGTTGCGAGCTCACTTTGGCACGCTCCACAGTGTGACTTGAGTGCTYGCCCACACTAGTGCTGTGCTCCTGCCGGCCCAATGCGCTCGTCCAGCGTGAGGCGAGCTGCATGGCGCGCTTCACTCCTGCGCCCTCCCGACGGCTGCTGAGAGGAWGGTTCCCTCGTGTGCGACACGCGGGCCTCGCGCTGGGCTGCAGTGGGCTGGCCCGGGGTGGCTGTGCTGCCCTGCCTGCCCGCTGTGGGGCCCTTGCTGGGGAAAGGGAGCAGCCCCAGGGCACAGAGGCCCTCAAGGCTCCCCAGGGCACTGGGGCTTCTGCAGGTGGCGGGAGTCTCCATGGCCATGGTATGCAAAAGCAGATCTGTAAGAATGTGAAAGTCACTGCATTTTTACTGACTGTAGTAGAAGCTCCTGGCAGTGCTTTCTTTGGTCAAGTCTTTGAGCTGCTCCTCCCTCCCTCATTTTCCCCTCCACTRGAGTCTACAATAACTCAGCTACCAACTCAGCGCAGACTCTTTATCCACTTGTGAACTGCAAAAATACTTGATCAGAAAATTTGCCTAAGTGGCTGTCGTGTGATGTGTATTTAGATTGCTAGTGTATCTAGAATTAGATACCTGAGTGATGGCTGTCAGTTTAATACCATTAAGCTTCTTTACATTGCAAGTTCTGTACAGCTCTGTGCATCTACATAAGTAGTTAGTCATAGCAAAGCGCATGCCTGGATTAAAGTCTCTCTTGGCTGGTATAACTTTGGTGCATTAAGGGCATGTTAGCCTGTGATGTGTTGGGTGGAAGGTGCATATGAAGTACCCCCCCCTCACTGAAGCCAAGTTCTTGAGCTTCTGCTTTGCCAAATTGGGAGACTTGAGACTCCCATTAAGAGGGGTCCTGTGTGCCTTACTGGTACATGGTAGTGTAAGTGGTGCTCGAGTTTGAGTTTGCTTTGTTTATATACATATTTTCTTTTCCCGAAAGGATGTATTATAATGGAAGACATTAGTTTTAAAATTCTACATATAACTTGGCAATTATATTAAGATATCTTGTATTACTGAATTTTTCATTCACTAAGTCAGAATGATGTGCTGGTGTATTGGCTGGAAAGAGAAGAAAAAGAAGGGTAAGAAGGGATGGCAACATATTTGCTGTATAAGACAGAAGGATCTGCAGAGCAAGGCAGGGTGAGCAGGAGAGGAAAACAGTGCAGGGGATGGCTTTGGTTGCAAGGGCATGAACTTTGCAGCTGAATTATATACCCTAAGAGAAAGCCTGTGACAGAGAAGCTCTGAACAGAAAGCGGTGCTGATCTCCAGCCACAAGCAAGAAGTGCCCTCAAAGCTTAAAGGCTAAAACAATCTTGCTAGCATTGATTTCTGTGTTACCCGACAACTCCTTTCTTGGATGGTGAGTTTCTGAAAATTATTTTGTTGGGTGCTTAGCTATTTGYGTGCATGCTCAAGGTGGCAACATAAGAGCCTTAAGGTAGTGTTAAAGTCAACCTTTTCCTACTCTATTTTTCTCAAAAATGTCAGATCCTGCTGTGTTCTCACACAGGAAGTCATTACAGCAAAGAAATAATTTTAAGCAAATCTATTAAATCTATTTGTTACGTCTACTAAAATCTTAATAGCACTTAGCATCTCTCTGAAATAAGCTTATCTTGACTGTAATAAGTTTTCTATTTGCCTGAGATGGCTTTCCTCTTTTATAATGAGKTTTGAATTAAACTGCATCTCTGAAGAAACCGTATCTAAAGGCTCCTGTTTAGCATGGTTTACAAACCTCCAGCTCCGTTGCACTTGGCTGCCTTATTCGCTATGAGATTCTTCAAGCTGTAAAATCTCTATCACTGCAATAGTGTCAGCATAAGCTGCCCCTGTGTGCTCGCCCCTCATTGACTTGCCTCTGTAGCACTGGAGAGGTGAGCCTGGCTTGCAAGTTAGARGCCTCCTTTCCAGGGCTTCCCATCTTCTGTGGTCACTGTAAACCTGTGCATTTCCGGTGCAATTGACTCAAGGCAGAAGCTGATCCATAAACTGTATTTTATAAGCCACTTGGTTACAAGGTTTGTGGCTGTAAATAGCCTTGTTGAGAGCAAAGCCCAGAGCTCTAGACACCTCACTTGCTTTGTTTTGGGCAGGCATTAATTAATTAAACCTAAGTCAGCAGTATGATGCTCTCATGTAATGAGGTGCTACAACTGTTCTTTCATCCCCTTTGCTTAGTTTTTGGCTCCTTTTGAGGGCTAATACTTCATTGCARGTGGCCATATATTGCTTTTGTAATGTGTTTTCAAGGGTATTTGCTCTAATAGTGCAYAGTGTTGCACATGGATTCCTTTTGTTCATCAAAACCTTGGGTTTCCTTTGTGAAGCAAAAAAGAAAGGAAAAAGACAAACTCAACTTCCTCAAAGAAGTCTTTCACATTTAAGTTTCCTGCACTCATGGCTTGGTTGTCAGACCTTTGTGAACATCTGAAATAACCTTCTCTTCCTCTTGTCTTGTCTGAAAGATTGTCTGTCTTGAACCTGCCTGTGTTACCTGCATCTTMAAATGAGGATTTTCTAGGACAGTGTTTGCTCTCTAGTTAACAATGGGTACACTGAAAATTAGAACTTGATCAATTTTTTTCTTAGCCGCTTTGCTGTGGAAAGGCCATGGCCATTAGATGGCATTAGATAAATGAAAGGTCCTCTGTGAGAAAGTGCAGGATCGGGTGTTCTGTTTAAAGACTAGCTAGAAACTTATAAAAAGATGTGTGCCCAGTTCTGGCAGACCATGTAACTGGCCATGTAAATGCTGCATAAACAGAGTGGAAGCAGGCTAGTTGTGGGAGTGTGAAGCAGCTGTTAGATGGAAATGTCCAAAGCAAAATCAGTCATTCATTAAGAGTTTAGTATTTGGAATGAAGGCTTAAGGTTTTAGAAATAAAGTAGTACCTAAGGAAGAAACATGAAAGGAAAATACTATATTAGGCCTTCTAGAATCACCCTGCAATGACAAATGGGCTCTGTACGTGTAGCTTGGCTCCAAGGGAGGAAGGGTTTAGGGATATAGTGCTTATACCTAGTTACTGCCACRTATTAGGGATAAAAATGGGTGCTAAAAGTATCGAGAAAACGAGAGATGGCTTGTGAGGGAATGATTGATAGATTTGCTCCTCTGAATAATGAGTCACATACTTAAAGCTGAAAGAAGAGACTACATCCTGTYTGCAGAGCATTCCCAAGAGAAGGGTTATGGGTAACTTGTATCACATTGCACTCTGCAAGCTGTCCGTGCCACTTAATGTTACTTGAACTGCATAGCCAGAGACAAGGTTCACTTTCAAGTAATGGTGAAGAATTCCTTTTAAATGAAAACAGAGATGTCTGTTGGAAGTTCATGTGTTTTAGAGTATTTGATTTGTTCACTGTAAAACTTCCTACTCCCTGAGTAGAATTCAACATCTACAATAAATATAATTGGATGAAGGTGGGCTTATCTGAATTGTATAGGAATCAAGCTGGTGTTTAAACTTTGAATGCTTTAAGAACAAAAAAATCTTGCTGAGTTCTCCCTTTTTTCTTAGTTTCCCATATTCACTGTGCCAGGACAGGATTGTACAGATCAGTAATTAAGSAATAAAGGAATGCTGGTATCCATCTGCCTGGTGTCTCCTCTGTTTTAGTGCTGCTCTGTCGGTTGGCTGTGCTGGCTGGGAGGGTGCTAACAGCTGGACTTCCCAGCTGGACTCCAATCCTGATGTTTTGTCCTGTTTATCTCTTGCAGACTGGGGAGGCTRCTGAAGTGGTAATTCTGGAGCGGTGCTGCGTTGTGGAGTTGAGGAGGAAAGCAGATGTTTCACTAGTCCTCAGTAAGTAAGGCACAACTTGCCATGTTCAGCGTGTGTTTTCTATTCCTGTTGAACAGAAGCAGCAAAATGCCCCACTTGGAAAGTTTGTTAAACAATTTATTAAACACTTGGACTGAACTGTTGCGTGTAAAAATGCCTTCATCTAAATCCCACTCATCTTTGCGTTGATAGCAGAAAAGCAAGCACCAAAGGCGATATTTTTGTTCTTGTGTCTTAGCCTCCTATCAGCTTTCTGTTCGCAGATGGTTAACGTTAGAAGAAATATTGTTTTTTTTCATAGCAATTGGAACCGTTGTTTCAGTGGGAAGACTTATTTGCAGAGAATGTCAAAACCTACTTTGATCTGCAGGAACAGCTCAACTAGCTGTTGTTTTATCAGAAATTGTTCATGACTTTGATACCGTGGCCAAGTTTTGTAGTCATGTGATCAACTTGCAACTTTTAGTTAGCCCTTATCACTTGATATTTCTCTAAAATCAGCTTGCCTAACACTTTGAAGCTTTTCTCCAGTGTGCCAACAGTATGCCAACAGTGTTAATCGTTTCAGAGCATGCACTAAGACACCTATCTGATGATGGATGGAGATGCATTCATAAATATTCAGAGTATCTTGGTTTTCTTGGTTTGCAATATATGTATGTATATATATGAAGAAGCACACAGGAAATGTGTATTTTCGTCTTGATTCTTTGAAGACATCTAAGTTTGGTCATGTCTAAATTGTATACTGTAACTGGGAGCTCTTTTGAGTTTTTTCCTGGGAGTTAGTAATGCGAACTGTGAGGGGAGAACCCACATGTGCTCTTTGGAGGTTGATGGTCAGTTATTAGCAGTTCTTACCTTTTCTCTAAGTACCATRATCCCCTTTCCATTTCAAGAAGAATATCAATTATATTGTTTTTACATTAATTTGTTTATACTAATGTACTTTACACTAATGTACCTTACACAATACATCTTTAGTTATGTTGACTTGTTGCCATCACCTACCGAAGTAATTCTCAGTGTTGCATTTGAGAAGGCAGTTATTGGGAAGTTATTTGCTGTGGGTTTTATCTCTTCCTGAGTTTTATGCTGTTCAAGTCTTGCATTTTCAGGAGTGGGATTGAGGCATTGCATCAAAAACTTCTCTGATTTGGCAGTATCACTTCACCTCACGGTAAAATAGCTAGCAATTACTGTTGACTCCTGAATTGTCTTGAATTGATTCTAATTCAGTAATTGTGATTATTGGCTTTGAGGTGCTGGTTATAATACAGTTGCAGCAGTTGTCTCCTCCTGGTCCTCTTGTATAATGCTTGAAAGCTTGCTACYGTTCCAGGCCTTCAGCTGTAAGAGCTGGCCGGAGTCTCTGTTAGATTTGCAGCCTGCAGACAGGGGAGCGTTTGTGGCAGGGAGATTGGCAGATTTCAAGTCTAAAAGCTGGCACAGTAGATGACAAAGGCTATGAATATTTCTGGGAGAAAAATAGACATGCATGGTTAGAAATAGGAACTGTTACTGAAGAGACAAGCATCCCAAAAGAGCATTTGCACATCTGTAGCATAACTGGAAGTAACAGTGGTCTTCTGAGGAACAGTTAAAAACAAATCATAGGCAAAAGGAGCAAACAGTGGAGAACTGGAGATATGTGGACCTGACAAGATGATGGAGAACACCTGGAGGGTGACCAAAGGAGTGCAGCRGAAGATAGTGCAAGAGACGGACAAGAAGATGAGAAATGAATCTCAAACTTGGCAAGTTTCCTTTTCAGGAGAGCAAGGACAAGAGGTTGGCAGGAGATTTGTTGGGCAGGAGAGGAGAAAGAAAGCCAGACTGCTGTGAAGGATAAGAACAAAACTTGAAGAGGAGTGAAGGTGATGCGCTGTGCAGACTGAGGATAAAATACCCAAAGAAGTGAAGTAATACTTCATGTACTGCAGRAAGAGCCAAGTTGAGAGGACAAAAGGCAAAGAAAGTAAACTGAAAATTGAGGAGAGATCTGACTGGAGACTTGCATCATGAAAAAATGGYCATCTTGTACTTGGAATGTATCCAGAATTGCTGTTGGGAGTCAAAAAAGCCCCAAAATGTTTGTCACGTGCTTTAAAGGATGGAGACAGGACAGGGCTTTCTGATCCACTGGTTTTCTAATTATCTGTTATGCAGCATCTAATTATATCGTGACTCACGATACTGTAGAGGCTAAAATCATAAGCAGAGTGCAAAAGAAGTCATGCAGTCCGAGGCCAGCTCTGTAGGTGACTGTCAACCACAGCAGCCCAACACAAGGTTTGGGAGCTGTCCATTTGAGGAAAGTGAAAAGATATAGTAGGAGAAATAACGTTCTGTACGTGCCTGGTTACTTGTATAATCTTGCAGTTAATAGCACAGCTCAGATGCTGAGATGGATCTGATTGAATATGACAGTTCTTATGGATAGGATTCGTTTTCCAAAACCAGAAATGAGAAGAGTGTTTTGATGGGTTTGCCTGTAAAGATGTTGCACCTGGAAACTGCCACAGCGTATTGAGGTGTCTGAGCAGTGTGACATCCTCTGCTCACCTTTTGCTCCTGAAGAACCAGTGTTGACAGCAGCCGAACTTGCAGCTTGTAGCACAAGGACAGGCACCCCAGCTCAAGCGAGCACAGAGGTCTCATAGGYTCTTAGAGATGCTTAGAGAATTCTCTCAATCTTGGAAGTCCTCTCAGAGGTGGTTACTTCATTGTTGACTTTTTCCCCCCAGGTGTTTCTGTGTGTGTTGTGCCCCTATCAGATGTGTCTGTTTYTGAACAGAAGATATAATGCCATGTGAAGAACATGTTGTGAAGGCTTAGGCAACCAGGAACTGAAACGGGTGCTGATGTTGTTATTTCTTTGTCGCTATTACCATTCTCTGGCGCAAGGTAACTAGAGCATGGCTCTTTAGGTCTTTGAAACTCCCAAGAGCAGCCTAAAGTCGACCTCTGTGTTGTGCCAAGTCTGATACAGATGTCACAAGGATGAAAGTGGAGAACCAACTCCATGGGTCTCCTCAGCTCCATGTGACACTGCATGTGCAGCCCAGATTGGGAACGGACCCAGGGCTTGGGCAATGAAATCCTATCAGATCTGAGAGTCTGCATTCAGGGACAGTTCTCTTCAGCTGTAAATCTCTGCAGGTTTCAGGTTTTGAGCTTGGAGATGAGAAGATGTGGTGAGACTGTATTACTGAGTGTGATCTGTTAGTGAGAATTAGGGAAGCAAGAGTTCAGGTACGTGCAGGTAGGGATGGTGAGTCGTGGGGAGAAGGGAAGGAACACTGGAAGATGCTCAAGCTTGAGGTGCAAGGGCCTAGGCAGGTTAACCAGGTAGACTGTGTTATAGGGCAAGAGGCCTGCCCTTAGGAACATGCCTGAGAAAGCAAGTGGTTCCTTTCGTAGAARTGTGCAAATTGGCTGTATTTTTTTATTGTTGAGCTCTTGTAGATTTTAGGTATTTGTGTGACCTCCCTGTGTTAAGGCTTAGGTGTGGCCTTTAATGAAAAGGGAGAAGGTACCTGGTATGTGTGAAAGGCTGCTGGTATTAAAGTGTTACGAGGCTGCAGTAATGAACCTGGAGAAACCAAGTTATGTTGCATGCACTATTCAYTTCAGACACCTCCAACTCTGAGTTTCTGTAGGGACTTGCTTAAATTGCCTTTATCATCTCCATTTAAGTTAGTTCTAGTATTGGAAAGTGGGTGTATATATACACACACACACTGAAGATAAAATTTTAATTAAATTCTATGTCTTTCATTGGAAACTGAACTTTCAAAGGAAGATTAGCACAGCATCATCAGTAACCATGGGATGATTTCATCACTACTAATTTGAACATGAAATGCATCAGCGTATAGAATTCAGTCAKCTTTGTGAATTAAAAGCCTCTGATGTCTGTATTAGAAATATCCTGCGGATATAATTTACGTATCARAGCCTTCATTTCGCTTTTGTTACAGCATATGGTGGTTAGCTGTGATGGTGCTTTATGTTTTGAGTGACAGGGCTTCATTGATATTCCCAGGCATTTTCCACTGCTGAGGTAGCAGCTCGGAGTTACTGTTTGCTAGTAAATGTGAAAAGGGAGAGGGAACCTTTAGCTGCTGTCAACTCGCCCCACGTATTGACATGGGAGGAAAAACGATTCGCCAGGAACAAGTGCTTGTTATGTCAAATGACATTGACCATATGCTTTGTGTGTGTGTGTTTAAATCTTGTCAAAGATTTTCTGTCTCTTACATGTGTACAGCATGATTTTATTCTTATAGCTCTTATTAATGAAAGCAAAGCAAATGCTTGCCACAGCCTGTCAGCCTTCCTATCGCTTAGACATGGCCAGTAAAAATAAAGCAGTAAAGCCTTGTTAGGAAAAGGTTAAAGTTAATGCCACAGGGAAAGATCTTAAACAAAATCATGTTACCCCTCCTGCACCCTGCCTAGAGACAAGAGTCTAAGATATTCTTAAACTTTTAATCAGGTGCATTTTTAAGAATATCTTAATTCTTGTTCAAATTCTTAGTGTTTTTCTCTTGGTTATTAATGTCATTAGGTATAGAGAAGAAAGAGCTGGTATGGTTAAATTGGGGTAGAAAAATAACTGTTATTGCGTGAGCCTTGGAAAAAGCGCAGTTCTGGAGGGTGGTAGGGCTAACAGCACAAGATGCTTATGTGCCCCAGAGAGCTTTGGTTAGAGGGGAGATGGCTGCGTGGTGCCTTTGGGGTGTCTCCACATGGTGCTGTTGCTGTGTCTGACAGCCACTGTCTCTGAGCCCGGGTGCTGCGAGCTCCTGATGGGAGCAGAAGCCCTACGGGACTGTGGGGTTGTACATTAGCTTCTGTGGGAGGAAGCTGGAGGTCAAACTTGAGGTAGAAATTTGTTGAGCAAAATCCTGGCGGGTCCGATGAATTCTAGTCCCATAGAAGGGGCAAGGTATTAGCAGCAGCAGGCATGGCCACTCTCCAGGGCCTGCTTCATGGAGTCCTGTTTGGAGATGTGGAAAAGCAGCGAGGCGGGCGAGCAGCGCAGGGGAAGCTGCAGGGCAGCTGGTGGTGTGGGGAGACCTCTCTGCTCCTGCGAGCTTYGTAGGCAGAGCTGAGACAGGGTGGTGGAATGGGACATGAGGGAGCTGGGTGTTTGAGCTGCAAAACTGTCCCTGAAGAGAGATGTGGAGCAGAGCTGCTGAGTGGATGCATGTCCCTGGAGTCCAGAGCCCTGTGCCTACCTGCCACGGAGGAAACGTGGAAGGTATTCCCGGACGCCTTGCTCGTGGTGCTTCGTTGTTGACTTTCCTCTCTCTTTCTTAGCAAAGGATCCTTCAGGGACCGCTCTGTGCCCTAGAAGTAGGAATTTTTTGTCTCACTCCTCCTTTACCTTTTTTTGCCTCCTTTCCCTGAGGCTGGTAGTTTATTTCAGCTGGACAACTTGATTCAGTCTAATGGAGCGGAGAGGGTAAGAGGCATGCGGATATCTGGTTATTGCCATTACAGACTGGTATGTGACTCGTGGGAAATGCAATCCYGGGAATGCAGATGTGGGGAGTACATGAGTCTTCACATGTTGTCAGATGAGTTTAGTGGTGGTGTACGTGGTGTAGTAGCAACACTCTTGCTTTTAAGCACTCATGTTCAGCTCCAGGAACTGGATGGATGTCTTGGAAAGAGCTGAGTGATTTGGGGTAACTATGTGTTAATTGACTTGTGGGGTAAATGCTACTACGTTCCCTTAGGTGATATCATATCCTTGTATCTCCAGATCTGCTCTGTTTCTATTTTTTATTGTTTTATGAAAGATTTTGGAAGCTAGTGCAAGYTTTGACTCCTGTAGCTAGACTGACATTTCATAGATCCACTAGAAGAAAAATATAAATTCCATAACACTTTGCTTTAACCTTAGTGTTAGTAAGTTAAATATTTTTTTTGGAGGGGAGTTCTTTTGTCTTGTCCAAGAAAAACAACAAGCTCTGAGAGAGAAACATTGTGTTTAGTTGGGTTGACTTTCTTCTTGGCTTTATGTTTGGAAATAGAAAATGAAATGTGTAACTTAAACACCTGTTCAGTGCAGAATACAACCTTTTTCCATTTGCAGTGGTGATTTTCCTAGATATTTCAGATGCTTTTAGGAATTTTCAAGTCATTTGAGTAATCCAGAGGTCTCACTGTGTAGTTKACTGTGGTGTTTTGAAATGATCATTTAGTGAATTTCCAGATCTCAATGCTGGCACGTGTTAGACTAGAATACACTGAATTGTGCCCAYTCCCACTGCATTTCCCTGTGCGTTTCTGTCTGCCTGATTTCCACARCTAAGAGATGTAAATATAAACACTAGGATTTCAGTTGCAAAACACTGGTTTCTTCCTAGAGCAGACCTTTTTTTAAAAAAATCTAGCTAGTGGTAGACTATTTCAGATGTTCAAATTACATTTAATATAAAAGAAAAGAATATTTTGATATATTTGGGTTTTGGTTGTAAAATGTTGATTTTTATCYCAGTGTTTCCTTAGCAAAGGCATCTTAGCTATCAAATTAAAATTCTATGTACTTCTGTAGGCAGTTAATTTTATATGGGGTTTTGTGTGTATATATRCTTAACTCATTTTTGATAGTTCTGATGCTTCATATTGGCTGATGGCAAGCTTTTCTCTTGTTTTTTCATGTGGGTAGTACTAAAAGTAAATAAATTTAAATCAGTTTGTGGCAGAAGGGAGTAGACAAGTGTGCAGCTCTTACTGAAGCATAAAAAGTTATCTAGTCTTTTAATCATGGGCCTTTTTGAAGTTTACTGCCCCCATGGCTCAGCTGCAATTGTAGATCACATGGAAACTTGCAGCTGAAATTTCTAGGGCTATGAATTAATCTGTCACAAACAATACAGGCCATTTATTCAGCTTTAGTCCCACAAGGTAAGTATCTGTTTTATGTATAGGTAAGGATCTGGCTAATATCTACAGCTCCCTCAGTTTGGGAATATTCTTGTCATGTGAAGCTAATACCTTATTTTTTCCAAACTGACTCAGAGGCAGGAGCTGGAATCCTTATTAGCACTGGAGTTCCCTGTGAAGTGAGAAGCCTTGCTCCCTGCCCACCTGGAGCATCCAGCTGCTCTGGGAGATCTCAGTCAGAGTTGCCATCAGCCACTGCAGCTGTGCCTGGGCTTCCTTAGATCCACCCCAGAAGGAAAACTCAGTCCCACCTCTGCTGGGCTCAGGGCCAGTGCAGTTTTAGGAGGCTTCCGGACTTGAGGTTTGGCTCTTTTGTCCCCCATAACAGTAAAAGCACTGTTAATTGCAAGAGGCAGATGCTCCATTTATGAAGGGCAAGCCAGTTTAGAATAATATATGTGGCTAAGTGCCCAAAGTTAGATGCTTAAGCCAGGAAATTGAGTTTTAATTCACATGGTTTTGAGAAAGGATTGACTACTTAAAGTTAACATATGAGAGCATTTAACTGCTATGTCTTATCTAGCAATACCATCTACAGTTTTTTCTTAGGGTCAAAATGATTCTGACATCCAACTAAATATTGCCTGCCTTATTAATAAAATACAGATGCTTAGAGATTTTGATGTTTCTAAGTCAGCAACTTTCAAAAAATCATTGTTTTCTTTCCCTGTTGGTTCTTCATTGTGACTATCTCAATGAAAGTCACAGTGAATTAGCAACTCTGGAGCAGTCCATACTGCAGAATTTTAAGACTTTGAAGTTGGGTTTCCCCCTCAGTGCTAATTTTAATCAAATGCTTGACCCTTTCTACTACTTGCATTTCCCTGGAAGCCTCTACATGTTATTGTTTTGTTTCGATTTGCTTAATGATGAAGTTTTCTAAGAACAACTAGGCTTTTGTTAGGCAAARCAGGGAGAGTCATGGTGAGTAATGGGGTTTGAAGCTCCTGAGTACAAACTGCAGGGTGAGCACGGAGGAATTCTGTTGTGCTAGATCTCTGTAGGCTGCAGAGCTGTGTCTGAAAGGCATAAAACAAGAAACAAGAGGCATAAAGGGCAGGGCTGGGCTGACAGGAGTGGTGGTGGCCATGTTCATTTTGGTGCATCCTGCTGTCTTGATGAGAAGCCCACCTGCTGCCCCTGCTAAACTGCACTGTTGGGTAAGTTAGCAGCTCTGCTAGCAACCTGCTAAACTGCACAGTTGGTGCAATTCTGCCCCTAGTTTAGCAATGTATTTATTCCTCTGAGGGCGGCTGTGTAGCATAGGCTCAGTGCACCTAGCAGGGAAGAGCAGGGTGTTGACTTGAGAGGTAAACAAGGTGCCTGGTGCTGTGAGTGGGGAAACAAATGTGTTATTTTTAAGCTGTAAGCAACATCTGTCTTGTTATGAATCTCCTCTCAGTGTGCAAGTTGCTGAAAGTGTGTTACTGTTTCCTGAGTGCAGAGTTYCAGAGCGGAGAACCTGATCTGTACCTAGAAGCCTCATCCAAGCCGGACTGCGAATCTTGGGCTGTGGCCCTCGGAGAGGCAAACTCAGAAGGTTTGCGGAATAAAATTCAGCAGCTCCGGAGGCTAATCATGGAAATCAAAGAGGAGAGAGCATCAGAGGAAGCGCGCCAGTTTGTCCCTTCATCTCAGGYGGACAGTCTAGGAGAGCCCCAGTTCACAAGTAAGTTTGCACCTTCCTGTTACGCAGTCTGTTAAGAGAGCTCCAGAATGTGCAGCAAGCTGCACAGGTYACGTCACCTGCCACATCACGAACAGACTCTGTGCTGTTGTTTAAATTGGTGATTGACAAGGTGCTGTATTTGAGGAAGCAAACTAATTTAAAAAAATTGTCTTTAAATATCATTCCTTGATATATTTAGACATATGCAAATAACCCTCTTCGGGGAAAGAGGTGTATGATGACAACATTGGTCTTGTTTTTTCCCCTCAATTGTTATTTTTAGTTTTATGAAGTTTAGAAATTGTTCAGTTCCAAATATCTTTCTCTTCTTTTGTGACTTAGATGAACGTAAGGGATACTGCATGAAATATAGTCCAGTAACTTTGATAACTCTATAAAAGAAGCCTTACTGACACTGAAGCTGGTATCACAGCTTTGTTCTTTTTGATATAAAAGCCTCTTGGGAACCTGAGAGCACGGAACTGTATGTTGAGTCACGCTTGGCGCGCTGCAGTCCGAGCTGTGCTCTGCTGCTGCGTGCTGCACTTCACTTAGTTCAGCAAGTCTGTATCCAGCATCCTCATGAAAGCCATGAACATGTTACAGACCAATATACTGATGCTGTTAGTGGCGAGAGACAACTCTTGAGAAATTTGTAGTCAGAGAAATGGCAGTAACTCTGTTGAAAAAGAGAAAACCTTATTAATTATCTTCAACTGACCAAGGCTTTTYGAAGATGTTGTTTTTCAGTTCAGATGTGAATTATTAGCTATAGTAATAAGAACAATGTGAAACCACCTATTCTGCAAGATGCTTTCATGAAACATGAAAGCTAAAAACTATTTCTTGAATTTGTAACTAACTTTCCAGTTTGCCTACCATCTCAGGCCTTCCTAACTGACTAATTGCTTTAATATTGGCAGATAGCTGGTGGTAATGTTCCCTGGAGGCAACACATAATGTCAACACAAGACAATTTTGTTTGTAAAAAGTTCATCCATATTATGGTTATCCTATGGCCTCCTGGGGAGGTAGAACAACTCTGTTTGCCCTTCCCGAATTTCTCTTCGTGGCCAGCTTTACAGTTCTGTTTTGCTTCTGTACTCTGTAACAGAATAATGCCCTTTGTAGCAAAACAGTTACTGTTAAGAGTATAATTCTGAAGTGGAAAGAGTTAGCAGTTTGCATGTTTTTCTAAAAACTCTGACAAAAGGAATTTTCTTTCCTATTTGCTTTTKCTGATTTTTTTTCTGTGGTTGGATTTATATGAAGAGTAATACCAGGGATAAATATATTTTAATATATTAACCCCATTTATGTATTTTCAGAAAGCATACTTGTTTCCTTTCTAATATGATGGCACATCTGAACTAGCTGTTAGAGTTAACAGCTGACAAATATGAAGGGGACTGTTCTGACTGAAAATCTTGCAGTACACATCCATAACTTTTTTCTTGATTTTTTTTCTCAGCAGCAAGTAGTTAGTCATATTAATTTTTTCTTCTCCAAGAAACTTGGTTTCTTTTCAAGTTAGCATTTCATAAAAAGCTTTCTTTCACTGAGCTTTTAATGTAAAATGATACTTCACCAGAAATGACAGGTAGTTATCAATGTATGAATTAGGCAGGTTAATTTTACTGCATATTAAAAAGCTAGATATTGAAATGAAATTATTTCTAATTACCTTTTTCCTTACTGTTAAAAGGTATTCAGAAAATTGCAAATGAACCAAAGCTGGAGTTCAGTCTTGGTAAGATAAAAATTTTGTTTTTTCTTTGGAATTGTAATGAAATGAAGTGTTTGTCTATGATGTTATGTGACATAATGTAATACATGTTAAAATGAAATTAAAAAGGAAATGGGTGCCTGTTGGTGGGAGACCACATGTGTGGTGTCCTTGAAGTACTGCCTATAGAATCTTGACTGGTTGAACTTGCCAAACWTCATCTGAGGTCTATAATGCTGCGCTGCTTTGCCGTGCACCTCGTGTGCCCAAGAGTGCTGGGCTGCCCCTTGGCAGACTAAGCGTGCTTCCTGATGCCTTGATTTACATCTRTAAGCAGCTTGGTCCAATGTTGATATTGAAACAGCATGAACAGTGTTAATTTTCACAGTAAGTCAATAACTAAAAATAAGTGGCTGAGTATATGCCATTGCTTAACCCATAAGCCCTAACGAGCGGTGCTTGCACAAGCCCTGTGTCTYGTAAGGGAGCTTGACTGCTTTCTGCTTACTGTGGGTAAGCAAGGACAGGCTCACTCGTTTGCTTTTCCTGAAACAGTCAGCCTAAATGTTGGTAACGTATATGTAAAGAGTTTCTAAGGAAGTTTAAGCTAATTCAACCAAATGCTGTTTTAGCTAATACAGCCAAATGCTGACATGAATTCCTAATTTAGAGGAATAAGAAGTGTAAGTTGTGACATAAGCAGCATTTGTAGTTGAAATAAGAGAAAGGGAGTACACTCTGCRGGTCTGTTCTACGTGCCTTCCACACAGACATAGCTCTATGAAGCATTCATTTGCTTCTAGATCTAGAAACATGGTGTATGCCTATAATTTTGTTAATATGATATTATTTATATGGTATGTGTAACTAGAAATAGAATTTTAAAAGTATGAATTTATGTATGCAAGTAAACATTGCTTATATCACTTAATATATACATGTTTTTAACTATATAAAATTACTTCATAGCTGTTAYCATGTAACCATACTTCCCAGCTCTTTTGTCATTAGTGTTCAATGGGACAATAAATAAATCTCATAAATAGAATTCATCGGTAAGTATAGCAGAATACAGGTTTTCAGGATTATTTGGGTACTGCCTAATTTATTAGACTTGCTTAGAATACCTAGATGCTCATCTCATGTTTGAAGTTGATAACTACATTTTGAAATGTTAATTTTACTCTGCAACAAGTTAGCTACTTTTCAGAGTGATATGGATACGGAATGGTAATGTGCTTTATTTTTTTTAAAGAAAAGTAACAGTAATGACCTCCACAGAGAAATCCAAGTTTTCTTTCACCTTAAAGTTAACGTTTTTCACAGTTCAGATAACTGTGAAACTAAGAAACATTTGTGATGAATTACAGCTTTATACCACAACACATCCAGTGTTTTCTAGAGTGTACTTAATTTTTATTCATGTCCCTTATTTTAGAGTCAGTTTTCTTTAAACTCAGTCATTCTCTTTTTGTATTTGTGAAGGCTGTTTGGACACACGACTGTTTCAGGAGACTGTAACTCTTGTTACATTTTTACTTTTCAAACTTCATTTCATTGCTTGGCTTTTTGGGTCATTCTCTTCCTTCCCACGTGCTCTTGTAGGAAACACTGGGAGGCAGCGCAGTAGTAGCAGATGCCTCTGCAGGGTGATGAGTGGAGGGCAGGAACAGAGCAAAAGGAGAATAAACAGATCCTGGACCTAAGTAACTGATGTGACAAACCCTGAAGCTGATATAAATCTTTCCCATGACTTTGAAATGCACAGGGTCAGCTCTTCCACTAAGATGGTTCTTTTTGGAAGTCCTATTTTTGGTTGCCTAGCCTCAGTCCCAGAGCTGACTAGATTTATTTCAGTGTAACTGATTAGTGAAATGTGAATTTTGCTCTATTTCAACATTGTTGTTAAAGGAAATTACATTATGTGTAGAGGTGAACTTTACAATAAAGTTTTTCAGAGTTTGAATCTCTCTGAAGGCTCTGATCCTCTATCATTGGGCACATCTTCAGAAGAAAGCAGCTTTCTGAATTTTATATACTGCCCACCCTGCCAGAGAAGAGGATTTGCTTCCCTTAGTGATGTGGCCAAAGCTATCTGAATCTTGCCAGGTTCTTCAGTATGAATTGGTTATTTCATACCATTTTGATGCTCTAGGGTAGGTATAAAGCCACTGCTACAGAAATAAAAATAAATAAAAAAATATTGACTTTCCCTTTAAAATCTTAGCAGCTATGCAAGACTGACAGCARGCTATGTTACAAGCATATTTGTTCTCACCCTTGCAAAATGTGCAAGGGCATCCCAATACCCTTCTAGTTGCTTGCAAATTCGTTGGATGGAGCCAGTGTGTACCCTCTGCTTGCTGCCTTTCTTAGCTCTTCATTTTTTTCCCCTTCCTTCTAAGTCTGTTGTGTCATGTTGATTTACTTACCTGCATATTCATTACTCAAATTTTTATCTAAGATTAGATTCGTATTCTAAGATTCGTATTCTCTCTAAAAATATGAAAATGTATATATCTAAAAACAAAAGCCTCTCTACAACTTATGCATGTCTATAGTTCTACCACATATCTAGTCTTCCACGTTTTTGAGCACTGAAGAACTGGGCCAGACTTTCAATCTGCATCTGTGGACAATACTGAGGTTTTAAACCGTCCTTTCCTAATTTGACATTAGGAGTTGTCTTGAATTGTGCTAGAGCCAGAGAGGAGCGTACTCTCAATCCTTAGCTTGTAATCTCTTGCAAGCTTATTGCTGTATGTGCAAGGACTCAGAGGTCCTCAGTAATGAAACTTTGGAAACTGCTCAGGTTCAGTTTTGCCTGTTACTTGTATGTTTAARGAGTTTAACTGAAGTATTTGAATCCAAAATGGTGCTGGTGTTAAAATATTACTGTTGTGTTCASATCAGAAGTTGATTTGTATGTGTGTRCATATATGTATGCATACATATTTATATATTTTCTCTTTGACAACACATTTTGGTTAGGATAACATTATTCTTTAGTTAACTATGTATTTACTTAGTGTGTCAAGAAGTAATTCTTGAGAGTAGTAGTCAGATAAGCACATTCAATGTGTCAGCATCCATTGCTACTTAATGATAGACACTTAAGCAGCTATTTAAACAGTAAATTCAAACTATGCATAGGTTATAGAGATTAAAAATCAATATTATACAGTGTTGTGGAACAGTTACTCACCAGGGCAGGTTTTTATTGAATGGAGGGATGTTTATTTGCTCTGGAGTGGGCTGCTTCAACTCTTTTGAGCAGAGAAATAGCACATACGCTAATATCAATAATATATAGTTTAAGAAGCCACAATAAAAAGAAATTGGCATATCAAGAGTACTGAACTCAGGTACATATTTTTTCAGGCAATTTTCTTGCTCTTCAAGAGGTTCAAGTGCCTTCTCTGGAAGTTTTTGCTTCTATACATAATTTTTAGAAGTATGAGGGAAAACTAGATTACAGTCTGGTAATCATGATAAGTATAAATCAACTGTAAGGGAAATTAATCTGATAGAATAAGGACTTTACACAGTGACTCACTAGGGTTTTGATATAAATGGATGATTAGTGATAAATTTGGCATAGTTGGGGCTAATCCATTTAAAGGAGCTGTTTGAAAAGCTTGTTTAGCAGTTGAAGGGGTTTTATGGGATTTAACTCTTCTGAGACAGYTTTATCAAACCATTCTGGAATGATGCCGTAGATAGTAGTAGGCTTGAATTCTTGGAGGAAAAACCCAGATTTTTCAAGATGCCTAATTGCTACATTTAATGGCCAGGGAAAAAGGAATAGAAGGATGAGATGTTACTTTTTCAGAGTTTTAAAGAAAGATTGGTATGCTCCTCAGTAAAAAGCCCTTTCATCTTGGTACTGGAGATGATAGTGTGGTGCCTTCACATTTTTTCTCACAATTCATATATGTTGATTCACTCTTTCAAAAATCTTCATGTCCAAAACTTCCAAGGAGAAGGGTTAGGTCTATGCTGAAAACTGTAAGAAAGGGTGGAGCTGCTCCAACTGCCTATCAGTATGGATCTTAGTATGGGTTAATCTATCTTAGATTACAAGGATGCTCACTGTCTGAGCTACTTGTAGTTTCTGAATTAACATGTTTAAAGCACTTAGGAACCTTGATGGTAACTTGGTAAGGCTTATTGAAAATTACTCTAGGAAAAGTTTGAATTACTTAAGAATTTATAGACACAGGTAGGCATTTGAGGTGATTGTCAAAATCAGGCTATATCTTATTAATTTCCTTAAGTATTTTGCTTAAGTATTAAGCAAAAAAGTGTCTAAATTTGTCCTTTATTTTTAGAAGCTTTATGCTTGGTTTCTGAAGTATGTTAGGTGTCTTAGTGAACGTGACACCGACTTTTAAAATACTTTGTAATTGAAAACTTGTTTCCAGGATTTTTTCTTAGTTCATAGATATGTAGGATTAAAGATTGTTTCTTTAAGCCAAAGAGAAGTTATTTTAGGCACATGCTACTCTTCTTTCCCCCCCGCTGCTTCCTACTTTTCCCAAGCTTTGACTCATACACCTCCTACTGCGCATACTTTATGCTGCTTGTCTTGCCAATCTACGTGCTTGCTCTGGTTCAGTTTCTGAAGTTCACTCTCAAGTAACTCTCTTTGTATCACCCATGTATATCTTCAGTGTGGATCTCAGATCTCATGCACGGTGACTTTTTTGTGCGTCTGTGGCATGTCAGATTTTTAGCCCAGAGTGCTGGGGTGGTGGAGGAGGGTGATGGGGGGAGATGTCGGTGTGGTTGGGTGGGTGACCTGGCCTGACCTAGCAGCTGTGTGGGGAGTTTGGGTAGACAACATCTTTTTGGGTGAGTCTGTCTTTAAGCTCTCCTTCCTCCCTGATTCCTCTGTGTTGGTGAGTAGAGCTGTTTGCATGACCTGATGATCATATAGTTGATACCTGATGAGTGAGTTGTACAAGACAGATACATGTTGTTGATTGCTCTTTTGGATCCAGGAAGCTGCTTTGAATGGGGAG